TATCGGACGGGTTCGGTAAAAAATCATTATTCATTACAATCCACGGATTTATAAATATTTTTTAACGTGAAGTATCTTCAAACAAAAAACGAGACGCATGAAATGACCAGAAAAAATGTCGAATGAATGACAAAAAATAATAATTCAACCCCAAATGATCACGATAAAATACACATTTGCATATTTCCCAGGTGTCACAGAGAAGTGGAGGACATATCTGATCGTAAAATTTAATCTCGTCCCTTAAAAAAAAACAAATATTCTCAGAAGAAGTTGGGGTTGAATGCCCTCGCATTTCCGGCCCTTAAATGTTAACTTGTTCATTTTTTTCATCTCCCCAATAGAGACTCTCAGAACTTTGCCTCCTCATCGCTGGGATTTTCGCGCCCCTCCCTTCTCCTTTTACGCTTTGTCTTTTCTATTTTGTTTCAAAAATGTGTTTTCTTGGGTTCTCTCTCTCTATCGCTCGCTCTCACTCTCTCTCTCCCTCTCTATCGCTCTCTCTTTCCCTCTCCCCGGTGTAACCTGAAACCCAATAGGCCCCCGGACGCTCAGCTTCTAGGACACTTCAGAAACGGGAATATTTCCTGTGCTGTTTTGGAGCGCACGAGCCGGATGGGATGAAAACCGCAAATTCAAAAGAAACACCGGACAGGAGTACTCGTATTTTTTTACAATTGCACGTATCGTTTTCGGTAATTTCCCATCGATATACCGAACTAATGTGTGAACATTTTTGCGGGGAATAAAAACTGAAAAAAGTGGGATTTTTGTTTTCAACATACATATGTCACAAGATAGTCAATACGTTTTTGATGATAAATTAGCAATTTGCTTCCGAATGGAATTTGTATGACGATGTGTTTTCAATTGAAGTCAATGATTCATTGAATTCAACATCGCTAATCGTTTCAACCGTAAAATTTTCTAGCTTTCGCTGAATATTGGGCTCAAAATCAAATTTTTCAACAACAGATGATGCAATCAATCTCGATCGAACTCGGGCAAGATGGCATTGCGAAGAGTATTTCAAATCACAGCGGGTTCATTCAGGTTGCTACAGGTTTAACCATTCTCAATCATTAAATTTTTCAATTAAATTGCGTGAGAGAAATTTGAAAAAATCATGAATATTCAGCGTCATTCAATTACATTTTGCACAGAATCATTAGTTTTCAAAACGATCGTTGTTTCTAAATAAATCATTGAAATTGTTTAATGTGACCGTCCCAACGAATTTTTGACCGTCAAAAGAGTAAAATAGTAATTTCCGTTACCAAACCATCTTTATAGGTGCAAAATGACCGTCATAAATATATTGCTTTTTGTGACGGTCATATAATTTCTACATAATTGGCATCGTTTATTCGTGCACTTTATTATTGATTATCAACTATTGTTTATTATAAGGCTCTTATGGAAGACTCGAAATGTATGTGTACAACTGTACAACAGCTTTTTTTAATTATATAATTATGAAACATGTGCTTACATATATTTTCATCACGCTGTGACGAAAAGTGGACTTTTCGGCACGCGGAGCGTGCCTAAAAGTCCAATTTCCGCCACATTGTGATGAAAAATATTGTTCGTAACTCGTGAAAAAATGTTTTTTGCACTCGTTACGAAATATACTATTTTGCATACTCATGAGAGAATGGGCACACTTTTCATCTTTGAAACAAAATAAACAAAGTCAAGAGTTCTAGTTGATTAGAAAAAAAAATAGATGAACAAAAAAGTATTTCATATAGATGCAAAATGTCCGTCACAGTTTTTCGGCCAATTGTGACCGTCATGGAAAATTTTTTTGTGACCGGACCGGTGGACATTGGGGCCTCGTATCTCTACTTACACCACCGAAAAGCCGGGAAACTCTCCATTCAAAAATGAAATACAACAAAAATAAAATAGAACGCTCCAAGATAGTCCCGTTCTCCCCCATTACTTGTCAAGAAATCAAAGAAATGAATTTTCACCCCTCGAATCTTTTACAACTGACTCGATACCTAATCAATGAAAAATGTATTGATACCCTCCCTTCCATCAACACCAATCTCCCCCACAATTT